TGACCCGACGCAGCTACCTGACCAGACGCAGTGACTGGAGGAGACGCAGTGGTCAGGGTGTACAGGCTCGACCCCGGCCGACGGGTAAACGTGGCCAGGTGTCGGCCAGTCCGAGCGTCCGTGCAGTGGGTCACCCGCTGACTCGCAGGAGTGAACTGGTGAACCCCCGCATCCTGTAGGTCAGCACCACTCACCAAGTTCGTAGAGAACGAGGGGAGGTAAAGACCAGACAGGGTGCCAGAGGGGGCCGCCGGACACGGGAGGACAGTGGAGAAGTGAGCAAGGACAGGACCCCCAGAGGGGTCTGCCAGAGAGACCGCAACTGGCCGGCCAAGCGGCGTGAGTGTGGTGCGGTCTCGAAAGAAGGAGCGAGAAGCCCCCAAGTCAAGGGTGAAGGTGTGGGAGGCCGAAGCCGACGCAGAACCTGAGAGAGCAGACTCACCAGCACCTGAGGGAGCAGACGCACCTAGAGCAGCAGCCTCGCTAGCACCTAGAGCAGCAGCCTCACCAGTACCTAGAGCAGCAGTCTCAATGCCCGGGTCGGGCGGAAAACACCGGTAACAGTCACCCTCATCACTAATAGTCACAGTATACATGGCAGCAAGAATAGCATCAAAGTCAAGGTCAAAGACAGCGACACCCGCCCTAGACAGCTCACCCTAGCGGGGGATCTCAGTGGCCTCAGGGAACTGGTGACGCCAAGCGTCCGTCAGGCGGCCAAAGCAGCGCTGGGTGGAGTGCGCACCCCCGCACTGGTCACCCGCGCGGTCGCCGGTGCGTAGGACGTAGGTGCACGGACCAGTACCCCCACCCCGCTGGCGTGCAGCGTACCACTCACGGAGCTGCTGAGGAGGGGGGATGTCACGAGTGCGCTGCTGCTGCTGCTGCTGCTGCTGGCGCTGACCACCACCGGAGCCGACCCTCTGCGCAGCGCCACCCCGACCAGCTCCACCTCCTCCGCCGCCGCCTCCTCCACCGCCGCCACCTCCACTCCCACCGCCACCGCCGCCGCCGCCTCCGCCTCCACCGCCGCCACCGACACCTCCACCCCCACCACCACCCCAACCGCCACCCCCACCCCCTCCACTGCCTCCACCGCCGCCTCCACCGCCCCCGCTAGCTCCTCCAGTGCCCCTGCCCCCCTTGCCCTTGCCAGGGCGGCATCTCCCGCTAGGGGTAGACGCCGCACCGACCGACTCAAGCCCAACGAGGTCGGCCGCAGCAGCAGAGGCAACAGAGGGCAAAAGGGGGGAGGGGGAACACCCCTCAAAGATGGGGGTGCGAGGGTCACCACGAGAGGCTCCTACAGCTACTATGCTCTTCTCTGCTGCTAGGAGGGACTTCTCGAGGAGGTCAACGGTGAGAGTGGTGGGGCAAACTGAGAGGAAGTGGTCCCTGACTACGCGAAGGGAGTCAGGGAGCCGGGTGACTATGTAGTAGAGGGTGATGTACATGGGGGGGGGGTTCTTGGCGCAGAACTCAGCAAGAAGCGCAGCGCGGTAGCGAGTGTCACTAGTGCGGAGGTGCGTAATGAGGTCAGCGACTGTGGGAAAGGCAGCAAGGTCAGGGAAGAGGTACGGTAGCATGAGGCGGCTCAGTGCAGCAGTGGCAGGGGAGGAGTAGCGCGCAATTACAGCGTCGTACAAGGTCTGAGCACTCTTGTACTGGCTAAAGTGCGCACGTTCAGAGGTAGGCAGGTGGCGACGCACAGCAAGACGTGCAGCAGCATCGCGCGTGGCCCACTGTGAGCGAACAGTGGCGTCAGCATCAGCAGCGGGGGCAGGAGAGGCACCAGAAGTGAGGTCAAAGAGGGAGAGGCCGTCTGCTCTGTCGCACTGTAAGAAAAGCTGCAGGTCATCTATCCAGACGTCAAAGTCAATGGCCCGACCTTCAGCGTCAAAAGCGAGGACACTAGGGGTAGCCATGACAGCAGTAGACTAGCAGCGCAAACAGTAGGGTGAGGGCAGTGCTGTGAAAGAGGCGCTGCTCTTACCGGACAGGGCGGCTCGGGTGGTTCGGCTGCAGGGCGGCTCGGCGGCTCGGCTGCTGGGCGGCTCGGCGGCTCGGCTGCTGGGCGGCTCGGCGGCTCGGCTGTTGGGCGGCTCGGCGGCTCGGCTTCTGGGCGGCTCGGCTGCTGGGCGGCTCGGCGGCTGGGCGGCTCGGCTGCTGGGCGGCTCGGCTGGGCCGCTGAGAGGGCGGCGTCCGGGGCCGCTGGGAGGAGGCGGCGGGGCCGCTGAGAGGAGGCGGCGGGGCCGCAAAGGTAGGTGGCGGGGCCGCAGGTAGGTGGCGGGGCCGCTAGTAGGTGGCGGGGCCGCAGGTAGGTGGCGGGGCCGCTGGTAGGTGGCGGGGCCGCAGGTAGGTGGCGGGGCCGCAGGTAGGTGGCGGGGCCGCTGGTAGGTGGCGGGGCCGCAGGTAGGTGGCGGGGCCGCAGGTAGGTGGCGGGGCCGCTGGTAGGTGGCGGGGCCGCAGGTAGGTGGCGGGGCCAGCAGGAAGGTGGCAGGGCCGCACAGGTAGGTGGCGGGGCCGCGGGTAGGTGGCGGGGCCGCTGGTAGGTGGCGGGGCCGCACAGGTAGGTGGCGGGGCCGCACAGGTAGGTGGCGGGGCCGCGGAGGGCGTAAGGGGCCGCGCGAGGGGCCGTAAGGGACGGCGCGAGGGGCCGTAAGGGGCGGCACGAGGGGCCGTAAGGACGGCGCGACGGGCGCGACGGGCCGTAAGGGCGGCACGAAGGGCCGTAAGGGCGGCGCGAAGGGCCGTAGGGGCGGCGCGACGAGCCGTGAGAGGGCCGCTAAGGGCGACGCGACGGGGCCGTGAGGGGCCTAGCGAGGGCGCGACGGTAGGGAGAGCACACCGGGCGCGACTCGGGCCGGAGCGAAGCGCGCTCCGGGCAGGAAAAAAATTTCGTGGTGGTGGGCCCTAGGAATCGTTCCCACTAGGGAACCTGCTCGATACCATGATAAGAAACGAGGAATGGAATGACTAAGGGAAAGTTGGGTACAAATGCAAACCCTAGGAAAACTGTACCCCATATGTGCTACCCCACTATAGCCTACAGTAGCTATGTCATATAAATCTGACAACATTCCGCTGTGGACCATGTCCCAATCGATGTGTCCGAATCGATTGTGACGCGTACGTACAACATATGCTGCCAGGTGTCAGAATGCCGGGCCGCCCGTGGTTGTCGCCAAATGTATTTATCATTGGGTGACGTGAAACACGGAGCCGCCGCCAGCAAATTGCAACACAACCCATCAGTCGCACGCGGTGCCAAATGTCAACACATGCAGCATGTATCTAGACGACTTCTCCCCAAGCCCACTATCCCCATCAACGCGTACGCTGCGTCGTGATTGGTCCAGGCGCAACACCCGGAATTATTGACAGGGACGCGCACGTCCCCGCCAGCGCGCCTTCCCCCAGTTCCAATGCTCCTTCCCCACAACTCCACCACCTCCCAACACCTTACGGGTTCTTCTTCTTGCACCATCCTTCCTGTTCCAATCTGTTTATTTCTCTCTTCTCCCGCTTCCTACAGATCTAGATCTAGAAGCACTCAGCGCGCCAGCATGGCTCGTAAGCGTAAGGGGCAGGCCCTTAACGACTGCTCCAAGGATCTTAACGACATTCCGTACATCCGTACACTCGCTCTGTGACGGCGGTTCTCCCCGCTGTCGTCACTGAATGATGAGGACTGCTCGTCCTCGTCCTCAAACACACCGGACTCAATGAGGCCTACGAAGGACTTGGCGACATTTTCGTGGAAAATGGTGTAGTAGTAGGTGATCCAGGCGACGAGGAGGTGTAGGATGAAGGGGATGGCTCTAGGCTCTGCCATCATCCGAAGGGATTATGCGTGTGTAGTAATGGTGTCTGTGCTATGCTTGATTATAAAATCATAGCAGTCGAGAAGGGGAGTTGCATATGTACGTGTTGTTGCCGCAATTATTGACACTGCGGATGAGTACTGTACCCTCCGCGGCCTCCATGAACATCACCGAGGATCTTCCGCGGACCTGGAGGTGTTGGTGTATGTGCTGCGCAAGGACGAGTGGGCATGTTTATTCTCTGACCAATCACAGACGTTCGCACATAATTGTCGCGCGTCTATACAGAGTCGCAATACATCGATCGATTGGGACATGCAAACTCGAGACATTTGAGCGCGACTCGGGCAAATCGTGATTGGGACACATCCGTTGGGACATGGTCCACAGCGGAATGTACCCTTAGGATTTGTCTGAAAAGCTAGACAATGTTATATCTTTCGTTTCACAATCAGACAAAGAGCCAGGACCCGGTCTTAAAGCCAGACGGGTAATTTTACTAAAGTTAGCCCTGCCCTGCACCCCACCCAAGTAGACGCGCCCAACTGTACATGTAGCTTGGTCAACAATTCATTCACACTTCAAGACGCAAAGTTGACTAAACATTTAGACGCGACTCGAGAAAAAACGGACATTGAGACACAAGTGTCGATACAAGAATGTACCCTCAGCCGGTAGTCAAATCCTAGCAAATGACCCTCAAACTGAACCGAACCCGATTCAAAGTGTGGTTTTTTTTTTTTTTCGGTACGTCGGCCCCGATAGGAAGGAACTCTCAAAATGGTCGACTAATTGTTGGAGATGTTTCCACAAAGAGAGAGTCTGTCAAATGGCAAAAGTACTTGTAAATCACGTTCCACAGCTGCTCCTCCTCTATAGGCTTTGACAAGAAGCCGTTCATGCCGGACTCGATGCACTTCTCCCGAGTCCCTGCAAAGATGTCCGCTGTAAGTGCAAATATCGGAGTCTGTGAGAGCCTGTACTTCGCTTCTTGCCTGCGGATTTGCCGTGTGGCTTCGAATCCGTCCATACCTGGCATCTGGACACAGTGAGGGCAGAAAGAAACGTGGATTTGTGAGGTGGGGGGGGACAAGCATACAGTAGCTAGCAGTAAAGTGCTGCCCAAGCTCCAGCCCCAGCGGTGCAGCGGGCATGCAGAGGGGGCGGAGAGCTGACCTGGACGTCCATGAGGATGCAGTGGAAGGCGTGGCCAGGCACCACCTTGGCCACGGCCACAGCACCCCCCACGACAGGCACCACGTGCACCTTGTATCGCTCCAGCATCTTGGCTATCACCTTGCGGTTCACCATGTTGTCGTCCACCTGCACACCCACACCACACCACACCACACCACACTACACCACACCAAACCACACCACACCACACCACACCACACCACACCACATTACACATACAAACGGGGCAGTAGCGCACTCAACTCAGTGCCACTGGTGCTTAGGCCTTACATGTCCAAGCAGCTGCAATGAGTTTAACAGAAACTCACCACCAGAAAGTGCTTGCCATGCAGCACTGCAGTGAGCATCTGAGTCAGCGACTGTGGGGCACCCTCAGCCACCCTCCTCGCCCCGGGACTCGCCAACGCCGCACTGCTGCCACCCCGCCCTTCCACCGCCACTCTCCTCTCACCACCACTCCTCTCTCCTGCCTCCACTTGCTTCAGACGCATTTCCTTGTTTCCACTCCTTCCCGTGAGCGTGACAGGGGAAAGCGCCATGTCTGACTCCACAGATTCTCCTCCATCCAATCTCTCTGCTTCGCCTGCACCTGCCCCACAGGCATCCTCTGCCCCGTTATCCACCACAACCACGTAATCGTGCTCCCCACCCGTCACGCCCCTAAAATTCTCGGGACTTGACACTTCTGTCCCTCTCCTTCCTTCAGATCCTCCTTCCCCTCGCCTACCCAAGGTGCCCTGCCCGCCCTCTGCACCCTGTGTGCTGCTGCTGCTGCCCCCCCTGCTGCTGTGCTTGGCGGCCTGCAGCAGCGCGCCCACGAGGGCGGCGCGGCGGATGGGTTTGAGCAGCGTGGCGTGGAAGCCCGCCTGGGCGGCCACGCTCTCCATGCTTGGCTCGCGCACCAGCAGCACCATGCGCCATGCACCCATGCCCATGCCCATGCCATTGCCCATGGCCATACCCATACCCGTACTCAACTTCAACCCCGTGCTCGTGTCCGCATCCGTGCCTGTGCCTGTGCCTGTGCCTGTGCCTGTGCCTGTGCCTGTGCCTGTGCCTGTGCCTGTGCCTGTGCCTGTGCCTGTGCCTGTGCCTGTGCCTGTGCCTGTGCCTGTGCCCCTGGAGGCTGCACTGGCTGGGGCACTACTTCCACCACCCCCCGCTGCATCACGATGCTCCTCATCAGCCCTCTCACTCCCTCTACTTTCCTGCTGCAACGGCGGCACAGGAAGTGAATGCTTCACATGTTGCTGCTGCTGCTCTTGCTCCTGCTCCTGCTGGTCCTGCTGCTGTGACTGCCACTGTGAACTCAGTAGCTTCTTCTCATGTGCTTCTTGCTGCTGTTGCATCTGTTCCCCCAATCGCTGTTGCTGCTGTGGCCGCTCCCCCACTCCTTGCTCTTGTTGCTGCTGTTCCTCCACTCCTCCCGGCTGTTGCTGCTGTCGGCTGGTCCAGAAGGCAGCAGCAGTGGCCATGGCAGCAGCGCTCGTCAGCACGCCGCTGCCTCCCCCGCCCCCACCTCCCATGGCGTCACTGCCAGCGCCACTGCTGCCGTCGGGGCTCTCCACGCTGCCAGCAGGGGTGGGGGGGGTGGCAGAAGCGAGTGTGCCGAGAGGGGGTGAGGCAGCCCCGTCAGAGGCTGCCCGGGGGGCGCACAACTGTTGGGACGCGTCCCCTGCCCTCCACAGCGAGGAGGGGAGGACGGCTGTCCTCTCGCCGCCTGCGCGCACAATGGGCACTGCGCACTCCCCTCCACCTGCCCCATCACGCCCCACACCTGCCCCTGCCTCTGCCTCTGCCTCCGCCCCTGCAACATCACCCCCCGCCCCGCCACCATCCCTGCCCGTGCCCAAGCCTGCCATTCCCACCCCAGGCTCGCCTCCCTCGCCCCGCCCTCCCTCATGCATGCGTGCAGGTGGCGTGGGCAGTGAGTGGCGCCAGGCGCGGGCATGGCGGGCGAGCGTCTCCGCGTCCACCAGCAGGAACGCACCGCCCGATGGAGTGCCCGCTGGGGGCCCTGACCCGCCGCCACCCGCACTGCCTGCTGCTGTGCTGGCTGCGCCTGCCATGACTCCCACGGCAACAGATGGCCCGGCAACAGATGGCCCGGCATCAGAGAGGGGCGTGACACCACTCTCATGCCCCGCCAGCGATGCTGCTGCCACGCTGCCTGCTGCCACACCTGGCAGTGCAGGGGACACCACGCCCACCACTGCCAGTGGGCCCGGGGAGGATGGGTAAGCTTGGGGGGGAGTGGCAGGAGCAGGCGGGGCAGGAGGGGAGGGTGGTAGTGGCAGGGCGGGGAGTGGGGGGAGGTCCTCCCAGCGGCGAGCGAGGAGCACGTTGAGCCTGAGGCGGCGCAGATACGTGGCTGTGACGGCGCGCCTCACAGGCCGGTCGTCCAGCACCACCGCTGTGCACCCCTGTGCAGCCGGTGAGCAGGGGCAGGGCATGCATGGAGGGACAGTGAATGCATACAGTGAAGGCACGAGACACAGTGAATGCATGGAGACACGGTACTTGCACTCGCTGCGAGGCAGACTGTCACTCCTGTGACTAGTGCCACTGAAATGGGCTGCCAACACTGAATAAGGTCCTCACGCCGACACAAGAGGCAGCCTCGCACGCACCTGAAGGTCAGAGACTCGAGAGGCAAGTGCGGGGGCACTTCTCCTCTTGCCGGCGGCAGCAGGAGCAGCAGAGGCGGGGGCGTCATGGGAGGGGTCCGGGGGGTTGTCAAAGGGCAGCGTCATGTCAAAGAAGAAGGTCGTGCCCACGCCCGGGCGGCTCACAAACGCCAGCTTGCCGCCCATCAGCGCCACCAGGTGCTGCGAGATGGACAGGCCGATGCCAGTGCCGCCGTGTGTGCGCGTGGTGCTGATGTCCGCCTGCACGTACGGCCGAAACAGACGAGGCTGCGCCGCCCACGGTATGCCCTGCCCCGTGTCCTGCCAGCATGCAGTGGGGGTGGTGAGAGCGGAGGGAATCACAGTAGCTTCAGTCAGAGTGCCTTGGTCAGAGCATATTCACCGCATGCCAGTGTCTGTGAAACGAGGCATATATCACTTCATATCACAGCATACCACTGACTCCATTGCACCACGAACCACCGATTGACTCCTTGGCACAGGACACCACCGGTTCATGTCCCTACCAGCAGCGCACTGCTCACCTCAACGGACACCACCAGCCGCACCATCCCACTCTGTGCTTCACCTCCCCCGTGCTCCCCCGCCCTGCCCGCAGCCCCACCACTGCTGTGCGGCGCTGCAGGCGTGCACTGCAGGTGGCCCGGAGGCGGGCCTGCCTGGGGGGGGCGCTCCATGAGAGCCTGGATGCGCGCCCAGCTGTTGCAGCTCTCCACCGCCTCCACTCCACTCAGCGTCTCAAACTCCCCCTGCCTACCCCTCCGCCCCTGCCCCTGCCCCTGCCCCTGCCCCATCTCTTTGTTCTGCAGCTGCCCCGTTTGCCCCTGCCCCTGCCCATCACTGCCCATCTGACCCTCCGCCTCGACTCGAGCCTGCGTGACGGCGCCGGAGGAGCCCCCATCAACCATCTCCCCTGCGCCCGCCTCACCAGTACACTCCTCCTTTTCCCCGTGTACCTCTCCCTCCCATGCATCTGAGTCACCTCCATGCAACCTGCGGGTTTCCTCTCCGCCCTCCCCACTCCTGCCATTTGCCAGTTCTGTTGTTCCAGGCGCTGCACCCCTCGCTGTCCCAGCACGCGCACTCACTTCTCCCCGTGCACCATCTGCATGCGCCACGCCGGTCTTGCCAGCACCACCACCACCAGCAGCGGCAGACGCAAACATATCTGCACTTGCGGCAGCACCTCCAGCGGGGGCAGGGGTGGAGCTCCACCCGCCTCCTGCTGCACCCGCACCATCAGCACTGGGCGTGTTAGTGACTGCAGCAGCGCTGGTGCTGGGAGCAGCGCGGTCGGAGTGGGCAAGGGAGGTGCGGGCGAGGGAGCGGGCGTCGGCAAAGTGGGCGCCGGGGACGGCGAGGTCGTCATGGGGGGCGGCGGTGCGCACGGTGATGAGCACGTGGCCGCGGGCGGTGAACTTGCAGCTGTTGGACAGCAGGTTGATCAGCACCTGCCGCAGCCGCAGCGCATCGCCCAGCACAAACGTGGGCACCGCGTCGTGCACGAGTGCCGCCACCTCGACCTGCGGCTTGTTGCGCGTGCGCTCCACAAACATGCTCAGCACGTCGTCTATCTCCGCCCTCACGTCCACCCTCATGCTCTCCAGCTCCATCCGCCCCGCCTGCCCTCGCCCCCGCGTGCACGCACCCAACACACACACCCATGGAGGGAGGGGAGGGGGAGGAGAAGGGGCATTATAATGCAGGAAGGAACCACTGGAGCAGGAATTGAATGGAGAGAGGAGAGCGACTCGATCTTGATGGATGAATATGGGCACTCGGTGGTGATGCCAGGCTGTGCTGTGTGCAGGCAATACACAGTGAAGCATTGGAAGTGAGGAGCAGAGTGAAGGGGTGCAGTGCGGTGCGGTGCACATAGGTGTGGAGAGCAGGGGGCGTGTGGTGTGGGTGTGGAGCACGGGAGTGCGGGGCCAGCGCACCTCGATCTTGGAGAGGTCGAGGATGTCGTTGATGAGGGAGCAGAGCGCCCTGCCGCTGGTGCGCGACGTCTCCACGTAGTCCAGCTGCACCGCGTCCAAGGGCGTCTGCAGCAGCAGGTTCAGCATGCCTGCACGCCATGCTCAGGGGGGGAAAGGGGAGGGGGAGGGGAAGGGAAGGGAAGGTGGGGAAGGGAAAGAACGGAAGCATCAAGGAACCATCATTTGACTACACATCAGAGGTTGCAAACATGCAGCCATGCGTGCATGCATGCAGTGACCCATGGATTTTCGGGTTAAGGGTTGCACAATTCAGTGACCCAAATGTGCGCATGGGCAAAGCACGGCATAGCACAGAACAGCGCAGCAGAGCAGAGCAGCGGACAGCAGAGCAGAGCAGAGCAGAGAGCACGCACCGATGACGCAGTTCATGGGAGTGCGGATCTCGTGGCTCATGGTGGCGAGGAATGTGCCCTTGGCGCGGCTGGCGGCCTCAGCAGCGACCTTGGCGGCGCGCATCTGCTCCTTGAGCGCCGCCATGCGCTGCAGGTCGCCCTCCACGCGCACCACCTCCCCCGCCACCACATACACCACCGCCACCACCAGCGCCGCCCCCGCCACCGCCACACACGGCCACACCACCGCCATGTACGGGAACGGCCGTGACTGGTACCTGCAACCACGAGCACGCACGGGACGGGATACAGACCATGGGGCAAGGTGCAGGGCGCAGGGACGAGGGGCAGAACGAATATGAAAAACAGGAGGGGGGGTAGGAAGGAAGAGAAAGAGAGGAAGGAAGTGGTAAGGAGCGGAGAGCGGAGAAAGGCAGAGCAGGGCGGCGGGCGGTGTTACCTGCAGGCGAGGGTGTACTGGCGGCCCACTGCCGGCAGAGGCACGGCGTGCGCTGCAGGGAAGGACGAGGGCGCCTCAGGCATGGCGGGGGGCTGCAGCGGGGGATACTGTGCGAGGACGAGCGTGGTGGTGGCGGCCGTGGTGTCCTGCAGCTGCAGCAGCAGCGCCGCTGACCCACAGCTGCTGCTGCTGCTGGACGGCGCCTGCAAGGGAGGAGGGTGAGAGGGGGCGAGGGAGGTGGAGAGGAGCAGGAGCAGGAGCAGGAGCAGGAGGGGGGCAGCACATGGATGATGGTGTGAGGGATGGAAGTGCAACTTGGGCAGCTCGGTTGAAACTGTCATGTTGAGACAAGAGGAGCGGTGGGAGCACGGGTGAGAGGAGGCATGGCATGAGGCGGGGAAGGAAGTACCTGAGACAGCTGTGAGAGGGCGAGCTGCATGTCAGCCACTGCAAACGCGAATCCTACCACTGCTGCTTGCATCTCGTCTGACGTGGCGTTGGGCGGCATGGCTCGTCCATACACGGGCACTGATGCCACCACTGCTCTCTGCTGCTGCTCCGCAGGCGACTGAGCTGCTGCTGCTGCTGCTGCTGTTGCTGCCAAAGATGTATTAGCAGGAAACGACCTCGGTTGGTCGCTGCTGCTGGTCGATGAGGAGGAGGTGATGGTGGTGGGTGTGGGGGCAGAGGTGGGCGCGGAGGAGGAGTTGTCAGGGAAGGGGAAGCGAGGGGCGAAGGGTGGGGAGAGGGTGCAGGGCAGGCGGGCAGAGAGGGCGGAGAGCGCCGAGAGGGCAACCGCGGGACCCAGCTGGGGGACTGTGCGGGAGAGGAGGGAGGGGGATTGGGCATTCACAGGTGGAGGGTAACAGGCAGGAAAATGGCTCGTGGCGTGCAGGGCTTGCGCTTGAAAAGGTGTGGGATGCTGGTACTGACTAATGGGAGGCATTGCTTTGAATGAAGCTCGTAGCGAGTCGTGTGTGTGCTGTGGCATGGGTGGCTGGCAGGCAATGGAACAGGCAATACTAGGTTCAAAACTATGAGATGTGGTAGCTTCTGAATATAGTAGCAACAGACGCCCCCACTTCCCCACCCACCCTTTCCCCCCTCTTCACCACACACACCAGAAAGCATGTCCAGTCCAACATAAGCCGCCCCCACGCCACTTGTGCTGCTGTTGGCGGTGGCGAGGTGGGAGAGGATGGTGGCGAGGGTGGGCGAGTAGTGGAGCAGTGGCAGGTAGTGCTGCTGCTGAGGCACGCACTCTCCACTCACATTCCTGAACGCGTACATGCATGCAGGGAGGACAACAACAGAGTGCAGAGGGGAGACGGGGGGTGAGCATCGGGCGGAGGGCGAGTATGGGGCGGAGGGTGGGGAGTGGTGTGCACGTGGATGGTTGGGCAGCACGGAGCTACTGAGGAGAGGCGACAAGGCGAGGAGGGAGAGAATGTGAGGGGAGGAGAGAATGTGAGGGGAGGAGAGAATGTGAGGGGAGGAGAGAATGTGAGGGGAGGAGAGAATGTGAAGAGAAGAGAGAATGCGAAAGGGGGAGAGACTGAGGGGGGAGGGGAATGTGACTTGAGGGAGGAGAGAATGTGAGGGGTGGTGACTGTAAGGGTTACATTACATGATGCGGCACGAGGGGACAAGCATGGTGTTGGGCATGAGAGGGGGCCGTGCACGCACGCACCAGATACAGGTGGCGTTGAGAAAGCGGTTCTGGAGGGCGGCGCGCGAGGAGTGGTTGAGCGAGAGCGCGTACCCCATGGCGCTCGCCCCCTGCCCCCACCCACTCGCCCCCGCCTCTGCTGCAGTGGCGAGAGGGGGCGGGGGGGGGAAGGCGAGCAGCGGGCGCGTGTAGTCGGTGGAGGCCACCAGGCGCGTGAACGCCGCCTGCTCCGCTCCCCGCACCCGGGGGCCAGCAGGGGGGGAGAGTGGTCGCGCCGATGAGCAATCAGCAACGAACAACGAGCAACCAGGCAATTGAGCAACGAGCAATCTAGGTAAGAGACGCTGCCACACTAGCTGCTGCAACAACAAGAGATGGGAGCCTCTCCATGTAACGAGGAGCTCCAAGTCCAATGCAGTGGCACCACGTGGCGCCAGGCGTACCTACCTGGTCCACGGCTGCGTGCAGCACTGTGAGCGTGTCCCCCAGCGCGCGCACCCCTCCTAGCGATGATTGCAGTGCACTGCCCAACTCGTGCGCCCACAGCGCACACTGCGATGACAGCGACTCCTGCACGGCGTGCAGTGCAATGCACGTGCAATGGACACCGCATCACACACAGCACATCACACACAGCAATACCGCATCACACAAAGCGTTAGGATTATGCAACAGAGACACACGGCACATGGCAATGCAATCCACAGTGTCACGATACACTGCTCTCAGCATCGTCCAACCCCCTTCTCCCAACCACCCTCTGCCCCAACCCTGTTGCCCAGCCCCCCCTTCAACGGAGCCCTTGTGCGTGCGAGGCGCCACGCGCGCGGCACCTGGTAGGAGGCGAGGTGGAGGAAGTACACCAGGCAGAACAGCCCCGCCGCCACCGCCGCGCAAAGCGCCGAAGCGCACACCAGCACCGCGCGCCGCCGAGCCACCAGAAACGCCAGCGTCGGCGCCACAAATGGACACGCGCTCCGCGACGCCTGCTCGCCCTCTTTGTCGGCTCCCCCCAACCCCGCGCCTCCGCTCCCCCCATCCACTGCTCCGCTGCCACCGCCTCCGCTGGCCGTCCGCGGCACCAGCGGGGCTTCCGCCATGCTGCCCGGCGGTCGCTTGGGCTCGGGGGAGCGGCGGAGCGCCGAGAGCTTCACATAGTGGCGCCTCTTAAAGCCCGTGGCCTTGACACGAAGCGGTTCCGTCTCGGTATCCATGGACTCTCGTCACGCTGTCACTTCCCATCGACTTCCGTCACGCATCGGCTATGGACATCCGTCGCGCATCGGCTATGGACATCCGTCGCGCATCGGCTATGGACATCCGTCGCGCATCGGCTATGGACATCCGTCCAGGTCCGCACAACGCAGACCCGGACACGCCCAGGCCTTTACGCACGTTGCCGCTGCCCGGCGCGCGACGAGAGAGGCAAATAGAGAGCAAGGCGGGAAAGAGAAAGAGGAGAGAAGGTAGAGGAAGTCGTAGGGGTTGAGGCCGGGGGGGTGGGAGGAGAGTGCGCAAGCAGCATCGAACGGAAGCGAGCGCCGTGGAAGGGACGCGGCGGAATGGAGGACAGGCTGAGTTGCTGTTGTGGTGGTCTGGAACCATGTATCGTGGCGCTGAGCTTGGTGTTGTCGCCTTTGTCAGCATCAACAGCTGGTGGAAACGGTGTAAGCAACTTGAATCACGAATAGGCTCCCATCCGAACCTTTCCAGAAATGCACCACACGCTATCCCTTCGTACCGAACTTTCCACCGAGGGCGGTTGGAACCAATGGGGCAGGAAGGAGAGGGGGCGGGGAGGAGGGGATATGTGAATCGCGGTTCAACGCCCCCGCAGCGAAAAGTATCTCACCATCAACGCGTCACTTGTGGCCACGTGATTCCGATCGCAACCCTCGGGTCACACGGTGGACGCTCACCGTCGTCCGATTCAATCACGATTTGGAGGGATGGGATTTGCCCGGCTAAAGCGGTTGAGTACGATGCTGTTGCACTCAAGAGCGGTTTCTCGCGCCAGCACGAATATTCACACAGTATGTGACACGCATCACCCAATCCAATCCGTGCACCTCCAAACCAAACCGAAATGCATGCAACAGGCAGACAGCAAAGCAGCCCAGCCCGCCTGAACCGCAGCGGTCGTCAGAGTCATAGCCCTAGTTTTCCTGCCTGCACGATTACGAGTCACCGTCGCACCTCTTTCCACATCCTCGCCACCCACCCCATGGCGCGCACCTCGTTCCACTCGTCTCGTTCGCTCCTCTCCTCGCGTGCGCCGTACAGTCGCGCGGATGGCTGCGGCATCCGCCGTGCTGCTGTGTGAGGTACCGCTGAGCACCGTCAGCGCGCCGGGCAGCGCGGAGACAGAGCGCGCCGAGCTCCGCGACCTCATGTCGTCGCCCGCTCGCCCACCGTTCGACTCCTCTCCGCGTGTCGGCGCGGACAATCCGCCTGCATTGCGCGTGCCGTGCGCGCAGGAGCGGCAGGAGGCGCAGGAGCGTCTGGAGGCGTTGTGGCAGGAGGTAGAGGAGAGCGACAGCACGCGCAGCCTGCGGTCGCCCAGCGATGCGTCGCCCGCTGCGACCTCGTCGCCCCGCCGCCATGCCAGCGGTAGCTTCACCAATCGACGCGTTCGCTCGCTGTGGTCGGCGGGGTCGCCGCTCTCGTCGCCGCAGCACACGCGCAGCGCGCGTCACACGCGCCAGTGGTCGGCTGCGGCCGTGCCCTTCTCCTTCTCCTTCTCACCGCTCCACCCCTCCGCGCTCCCTGCGGACGCCCAGTCGTCGCCGCGGCATCCGCTCACCCCCACGGCGGACGGCAAGGCGCAGGCGCACGGGGACGGGGAGGAACGAGGGGAAGCGGAGCGAGTGGCGGGGCATAAGCCGTCCAAGTCGGCGGGGTCGCTGCCGTTCCTCCAGTTGGGGCAATGGTCGCGCTCCTCCCCCAACCTCCGCTCCCCCATCAGCCCCCCCGCCGCTCCCACCTCCCCGTCGGATACCGCCTGGTCGCTTCCCGGCTTCGCCAAGTCGGTAACCCTTCGCTCTTCGCCCAGGTCCTCCACTTCGCCCAGAGCCGCCACTTCGCCCAGAGCCGCCGCAGCGTCGGTGGCGCGCGCTGTATCGGCGACGAGCGCCGAGGCGCCGGGTATTCTGGAGAGCCGCACCTTCGACCCAATCGCGTCGCCCCTCGCCGCCGCCCCGCCAGCGTCGCTCTCCGACGCGCGCAGGTCAGCGGAAGCGGAGGTTGTGGGTGGCGGTAGGAGCAGCCCGTTGCGGGGCGGCGGATGGCGCAAGACCGCGGTGGGCGGCTGGCGCAGCGAGGGCGGAAGAGAGCCGACAGTGACCGCTGAGATGGGGGAGGGCGCGGGGGAGAGGGCGAGTGCAGGGGAGGAGGACAAGGGGTGGGCGTCCGGCAGTGGGCGGAGCAGCAGATGGCGCGCCAAGGCAGCCCTGCCGCAGCTGAACGTGCGCCGCAACTCCGTGGACAGCCCGCAGCCCACCCCGCAACCCAGCCCGCAGCCCAGCCCGCAGCAGAGCGCACAGCAGCAGGCGCTCAAAGTGCTGCACCAGCGATGCCCGCCCCTGTCGCCCTCCACCTCCCCACTCGCCTCCCCCATACCCTCCCCGACCGCCTCTTCTACCGACCCCGCAGCAACAGCATCCGCCAAGTCGCTCCTGAGGTCGCCGCGCTCCCCCTGTGCCGCAGCAGCAGCAGCCGCGTCGCCGCGGTCGCAGGTGGTGGTGGTGCGGAGCTTTGTGGAGCACCGCAGGCGAGTGGCGGAGGCGGAACAGAGAGAGGCGGCGGAGCTGGGGGAGGTGGCGGCGGCAGGGCGCGCGGACCCGGGGAACGGGGGGCAGGAGGGCAGGCGGGGAGGCGTGAGTTGGAATGGGGCAGTGCAGAGCTTGGACGCGGCGGTAGCAGCAGGGGGTGCAGTGGGGGAGGCAGAAAGGGGTTCAGGGATCCAGCAGGGGAGCGGCAGGGTCGCGGAAAGGTTGGCGCCTGCCATGGCGGGCACAGAGGGCGTGCAGTTCGGGGAAGAGCGGATGGACGCGGGCATGACACAGGCAGGCATCGTGGGCGATCCACAGTGCAGGGGCGGAGGGCACATGCGCGGTGGTGGTGAGGGCGAGCAGGTGCGCGTGCAGGCGACGGTGGGAGGTGGCAGTCCGCCAGCGAGCAGTGCGGGTGGGAGAGGGGCAGGTGGGCACGGGGAGCGAGGCAGGGAGGAGGAGCAGGTCAGAGCGGTTTTAAGTGCGAGGCAGCAGCAGCGAGCGCAGTGGCTGCAGCAGCAGGAGTGGCAAGAGCAGGAGGGGAGGCAGCGAAGCAGATCCAAGGAAGGTGCCACGGTGCAGTGGGCGCCCCTCCCCACCACCACCCACTCCCCCCCCGTTCCCCGCCAAGCTTCCGCCCCTCCCCGCCCCGTGCTTCCCCTCCATTCCGATGGGGCCCTCTTCCCCCACCGCCCTCTCACGGCAACGCCCTGCCCTGCGCCCAGAGACCTCTACCCTGCATCCCAGCAGGCGTGGCTCACAGCGGATGCTGGCACGGCAGGGCACAGGCAGGAGGAGGAGGCGAGGCAGGAGAGGCGGGGCGAGTGGGGCCATGCTTATGATGCACGCGGCGCGCACGCCATGTCTGCCAGCTTCCACAGCCGCTCCTCTCCGCCGTCCAAGCCACCTCAAAGCCCCCGACCTGCTCTGAGCCCCAAGCCACGCTCACACGCACCGCGCAGCTCTGTGAGCCTTGGCAGCCTTGGGTCCCCTCGGGGCAGTGCCCCGCCCCACAGCCTTGACCCTGCCCATCGCCCTGCTGCCAGCCCCTCCCACCCCCTCCGCTCCAACCCCGTGGTCCCTCCACTCTCTCTCGCCCCGCCCCTCGCCCCTTGCCACTCGCATCACAGCCCCCTCAACAGCCCCCTGGGCAGTCCTTTGAGCAGCCCGCGCGGTGCTGTGAGTCGCAGCAACTCAGCACGCACCCGACCGACCCTGCCAAGTCCCCACTCCCAGCTGTCACCGCGTAGCAACCACATGCCGCCGCCCGCTGTGTTCTCTTCCCCTATTGGGAACTGTGAGCCGCAGCAGACAGCGCGTGGCAGTGAGGGCGTGGCACCGCTGCTGCCAGTGGGCAGCAGCCACGGCACGGCATGCAGCCCTCGGGCGCCCAGCAGCCCTGCTCCCTCTCCCAGCCCACGCGCACAGGGCAGGCATGTGAAGAGTGGCAGCATAGACAGCATGAGCGCAGCACTGAGTGCCCCCAGCAGCCCACTTGGCAGCCGAGCACCTGATGCCTCGGCCTTGCGAGCACAGGGAGGCCCAGGGAGCAGGGTACTCGCCCCGGGGCAATCATCGTCGCGCTCTCCCAGGCACTTCAGCAGCTGCCATGCTGCCGTTGGCCCTACCACGGGAGGCAGAGCTGGGGTTGGGCAGAGTGGCAGTGGGGCAAGAAGTGGTGCGATGGTTGGGGCAGCGGATGATGGCAGCGGTGGTGGTGGGCAGCAGGCTGGGGGGCGTCATGGTGGGAGTGGGGCAGTGGAGCGGAGTGTGAGCGAGCAGCACCACAGCCACCACATGCACCCTATTGCAACCACCCTGTCGCCTCAGTCTGACGTGCCTCAGGCCATAAAGAGGCGCCACACGTATGCTTCCACCCCCACCCTTGCCATCCCTCTGCCCCTGCCCCAGCTTGGCCCTAACGGCTGCCCTCCCCCTCTTAGCCCCACGCTGAGCAGGGCAGCAGGCAGCAGCAAGGGCAGCAGGAAAGGGGACAGGAGGCAGGGGAGGCAGAGGGGAACTGGTGTGGGCAAAGAGGAGGGCGTTGTTGACGACGTTACGGCTGCTGCAGCTGCTGTTGCTGTTCCCAGTGAAGAGCAGAGGGTGGAAGGGACAGCGGATGCCAGGCGCAGGTGAGAGCAGGGGTCTGGTGCTTGCCATTCGCTTTGCCTTGTCGCCATCGCATTTGCTACTGTCATCTCTCTGCCTCCATTGATACCGTCGGGTATGCTTGGTGCAAGGATGGTCATCACTGAGTCTTGACTCTCCTCGTGTGTGTGTGTGTGAGCAGGTTTCGAAGAGAGCTGTCCTTAAGTGGGTACTTGAGCAGCGGGTAGGCTTGAGGTGCGCCAAGGCATGTCAAGGCACGCACCCACTAGGATTTGCTCGTGGTAGGCTGCTCTGGGGCTGCCAGGCACAGCATGACTTGTTAGTTAGCACCTCTCGTAGTGACGAGGCCGCACTGGGCAAAGTGAAGTGAAGTGATGCATTTATAGTATCACTTATAGTGTGTGTTGCCATGCCATTCAGCAAGGGCTGCTGCAAGGGACATGTGAAGGGTTAGCTAGCTCACATCTTGTTTCAACATCCCCAGAGACCCAGAGATTGCATTTCTCCTCGTTCCGTCACACCTGCAGTGAATTGCAACGGATGCCATTACATTGCGCTGATTCATTCTGAAGCTCCTGATGGAGCGTGCACATGCAAGGAGCTGCATACACAAGTTCCAACACATGTGAATGCATTGTATTAAATGCTGCTGCCAGTTGCGTTTGACTCACGCCCGATGATGCCAGGAGCAAACACGCGTGGCACTAGTGGTGTGGGGTTGGCTGTCTGAGCAGCCCCAGTTCATTGCCTATGAGTCGGAATATGATGGCACACAGGTTGGACAAATCCGCATCTCTGCAACGGCCATACAGGGGGGCATGGGAAACGTGACAGGGGGGTACAATAGTCAAAAGGGAACATGGGAGCATGGAATGGGTATGGGAGCATGGAAATGCGTAGGAACAATCGGGAAATTGTTTGGGAGCATGAGGAAAGGGTTTGGGTAAGATGGAGAGGGGAGTGAGGTGGGTGGAGCACAGGTGAGGCAGAAAAGCAGCATGGAGCAAAAGCACAGGAGATACTGCTACAGCTGCTACTTATACACAAACAAAGAGGGTTCTGTGAGGTTTTCGAGTTTAAGGGGGGGGAGGGGGACGGGGGACGGGAGAAGTGTGGAAAGTGTACCGGAGGAAGACGAGGTCGCAGAGGGGCGAGTAGAGCAGCAGCAGGTGCGCTCGCTGCCACCCCAGCTGCCGCCCCTCGCTGTCCTCAAACCGCCGCGCTGCGCTGTCCCGCTCCCACGGCCGCTCCAGCTCACCCCTGGTGAGCGTGTCCCCGGCTGCTGCTGCCTGCGCCGTGACGTGCGCCTCTGCACTGGCCTTGGGCGCGATGGGCACGTCCACTGCAGCAGCGACGAGGGGGTGCAGCACGAGGCGCACCAGCTCCTGCAGCAGCAGCAGCATCTCCGCCAGCCGCACTGCCGGCATGGCTGCTGAGCCTGCCCGCCCACACACGGGGACAAGGCACAAGGGGCAGGCAGGGAGAATATGGTCGAAAAGGCAGCGCAGAGGGAGAGGTGGCAATGGGAGGCAGTGAGGGAATGCAGAGGCGCATCCAAGCAGCGAAGCAGATGAGGCAAGTCCGTAAATATGCTTGCAGCCCCGTGCGCTACTCCTTTGCAGCGATCAACTGGTGAGGCAGGTGCAAGTGCGAACCCCACCTGCTTGCAGGGAGTCGGCGGTAAAGCGGTGCAGAATGGCCTGGCAGCGCGCCACGAGGCGAGGCAGCACCAGCCGCCCCACCGCCACCGACGACGATGCCACCGTGTCCTCTGGGCGGCCTTGTCTGGCCCACATGCATGCAGGCGCCGTGCAGGAAGCGAGGGGTGGGGGGAGGGCACGTGGCACAACATCAGTTGAGGGGTGAACGTAGCATGTGATGCACGTGCGCATTGTCAGGGCGGCCATGCGATGAATGCATCCAGAGAGATGAATGAGTTGAGTGCAGTGAGAGCATGGGTATGTGGTTAGTGCATTGAGGGAGATGCCGTGAGTCGAGCACATTGGCAGGCAAAAAAGGGTGGCGGCAAGCAACAAGGCGGAGAGGCACCCACCCGGCGAGCATGAAGAGGCGGGAGAGGCAGGCGAGGGAGAAGCGCGCGCAGTGGGTTGGCAGCGCTGCCGCAGCAGCCAGGGGCAGCGCGCTGGTGCGTGCAGCACACGCATCCAGCACTGCCACCAGCCGTTCCCTCTCCTGCACGGTTCAGATCAGAGGGGTCACGTGGGAGATAGAGCAGCAGAGGTGCAGGGGTGTTGCTGCACGTGGAGAAGATGCGAAGAGACGAAAGGTGGAGAGAGAAGGATGACAGGGAAATGGTGCATTGACAGATGGAATGACTTTGCTTGATAAATACACACCTAATCAAACAGTGCAGTGCAGTGGGCACCTTATGGGGGGCGTCATGGCAGTGGGCACCTTATGGGGGGCGTCATGGCAGTGAGCACCTTGTGGGGGGCGTCATAGCAGTGGGTGAGCATGCGGGTGCAGAGGGTGTCAAGGAAGAGCGCCTCCAGCATCTCATCCGCCTCCACCACCTCGCGAGTCAGCAGCTCCGACACTCCCCGTGTCGACCCCGCCTCCCCCGCCCACCCACTGCTGCCCGCGCCTCCTCCGCCCCTCCCCTCGCTGCCTGTGCCCCAGTCACTGCTCTCTGCCTCCCCCGCCCCCCTCCCAGCAGGCACGGCTGCTCCCCCGGCCCCTGGTGCCCGCCCTGCCCCGCTGCCACCGCCGCTGCCAGGAGCAGCTCTTCTCCGCGGACTGCCCCCTGCGCCCTCCCCTCCCCCCACTCTGGGGGAGCGTCGGGGGGAATGTCCTGGGGGTGGTGCTGGCGAGGGCTGGGGCGCCGGGGAGGGGAGGTCTGGCAGCAGGGCGGTGCCGCATGTGCCGAGCACGAACTGCTCCACCACCGCCGCCAGCTCCTGCCACATGCGCTGCCGTGCTTCCCCCCCCTCACTGCTGCCGCCCACTGCACCGTTGCCCTCCTTGGCAACTTCCTTATGTGCCTCATGCTGGTGCTTGGTGTGGTGGTGTGTGGAAGAGGCATGCGTGGGTGAGGATGGGCGTGCAGGAGGAGCCAGAGGGTCTGAAGGAGAGGTGTGATTGGCGTGTGTTGTGAGAGGGGGGTCAGGCGGGAGGGCGTGTTTGAGGATGTCTGAGAGCGTGGCCACGGCCGTGCGCCACAGCTGAAGGTCAGGCGAGGTGCGGCGGATGAGCATACACCTGTGGCGTGCAAGGGTGCAGCGGGGAGAACATGTTGGGGAGAAGCACGTGGTAAGCACGACGAGTGAATGAGAATGAAACGGATGGATAAGCGGAGATAACGAGGGTGCATCTGTTCCAACGATTGTCAGCTCAAGCGGCTGAAACTGTGTGACAGTCTCCATTCCAGCGCCCACTCGCGCCCACCCCTTGCTGCACGGCACGCACGCCCACGTCACCTGCCGAGAGCAGCAACGAGGTCGGGCAGGACGGTGTCTCGGGCTTCCGGGGGCGCGTTGAGGAAGAGCTCGAGCAGCAGCGCCACCACGCGGTCCTGCAGTGCGGGTGAGAGGGCGCCGGGCGCCGTGACGGGGTAGCTGAGCATGAACGACCCCGTGGGGTTGCCTGACGTCGGCACGTACACCGCTGCCGGCGCAAACAGTTGAACTTTGCCACCCAGCGAAAGGCCGAATGATGTCGTCCGGCTGCTACTGTTGGCAGTTTGTGTGGCACCTTCCACGCCTCCTCCTTGACTACCGATTTCCTCGCTGCCTGCTCCGCTCTCATCCCCACCATCGTCTCCTACTCCCCTTCCTCTCCCTTCATCAGCACCGCTGCCCCCTTTCGTGCCGTCAATACCCCCTGCGGCGCCAGCAAGGGCAACCTTGGGGGCGTGGCGTTGCGTGGCCTCGGACAGGAAGCGCGGCGGCACGCGGCAGTGCGGACAGAGCAGGCGGTCCCCACCAGGTAGGTACGCCAGCAGCTGCTGCAGCAGCGCGGGCCACAGATGTGCGTGTGCCGAGGGCTGCAGGCGCGGCAGCACCTCCAGCACCGTGCGCTGCACCTGGGGCAGCGTGCCCTGCCCGCATTCACAGTATGGTCGTGTGAAGTGGGGGGTTGTGGGAAAGGAGGTGAAGACGAGTGCAGTGAGCAGCAGCAAATTGGAAGGGAACGTGCAGCATGGAGCAGATGCGGATGTCAAAAGAATGAACGACGCTGACACCAATATGAGGTTGGTGGTGGGCACATGCATGTTAGTCAAAAGCACAGGCGGGTGTCAAGACAGCATGGAGGGCAGAGGGGGCATGCAGGGCGTACGGCGAGGGGAGGGGGTTCGGAGGGCAGCACGGGGCAGCGCGCCATGACGTCAACGCAGGCGAGCAGGCGCAGGTAGTCGCTGTCCTCAAAGGCGAGGCCCGCCGTGCTGTACACCTCGCCCAGGTCCTCCACCAGCTTCTGCCGCGTGCGCACCGCCACCGCGGCCGTGGGCGCTGTGCTGTCGCGCAGCAGCAGCTCGTAGGCGTCCATGCTGCTGTCCCAGTAGTGCCGCGGGATGCTGCCCTGCCTCCATGGCACATGAGGGGCGGTTGGGAGAGGGTTCACAGAAGCAGCGGACTCAGGAATGCATCACGGTGCAGCAGGTGGGGTAAGGTAGCACGGCACGAGGTCAGCATGGAGTGGTGGGATGCATAGCCAAGGCGCAAACAGCATAGTGTGAGCATGATGGTCACCTTGGTGGCATGGGTGAGCATGATGGTCACCTTGGTGGCATGGGTGAGCATGATGGTCACCTTGGTGGCATGGGTGAGCATGATGGTCACCTTGGTGGCATGTGTGAGCATGATGGTCTGCAGGGTGCTGGCAGCAGCAGAACTGACTTCTCTGCTGCCCGTCAGCACGCCCTCCTCCACGAACTGCAGCAGTGCGCCCCACACTGCCACCACCATGGCATCCAAGGGGTGGGGGAGTGGGCATGAGGAGGCGGTTTGGAAAGAACAAACAGAAAGCTGATGCAGAAGAGGAATGAAAAAGGTGGCCTTGCTTACTGGTCTCACAAAGGAGGAGTGGGGCCACAAGGAACAGCTTTGCTTGCAGTGCCAAGCCAACTACTGATGCAGTGCGCACCTTCCCGGAAGTTGTCCATGGTATGCAGCAGTGGGAAGAAGGCACGAATAAGCCGGGCGAGCCCGTTGAGCGCCATGACGAGCGTCTCATCCCACTGCTTCTGCGCCGTGTTGCGGCTGTGGTGCACCAGCATCATCACACTCCTCCCCCCCTGCCGCCCTATCTCCGTCCCCGGCGCCTCGTCTCTCGATGCCGTGGCTGCCTGCAGGCCACAAGAGACGAGAAGATGGTTGAGTGAGGGCAAGCCAAGTGGACGCCGTCATGCCAGCCGTGTCACTGACTGGCCTGTGACTGGGACTGGCATGGTGGTGTTGCCTGGGACTGACTGGCTTCATGACAGCGGCCATCATTCACTACCATGGACCCCATATAGGAGGCAGGGACTCACAAAGGGAGGGCAGGGACTCACAAGGGAGCGCAGGGACTCACAAGGGCGTGCAGGGACTCACAAGGGAGCGCAGGGAATCACAAGGGAGCGCAGGGACTCACAAGGGAGCGCAGGGACTCACAAGGGAGCGCAGGGACTCACAAGGGAGCGCACGGAGTCGATGAGGGGGAAGATGAGGTCCCAGAGGCAGTGGCGCCAGGAGGCGGGCGGCAGCTTGGCGCCGTGGCTGACCACCGTCTGGAACAGCGTGCGCATGGCCGCGTTGCGCACCTCCGGCCGCCCGTCCTTGGCGCGCGCCTCCATCACACACAGCACCGCCAGCAGCAGTGCGCTGCTCCGCTCGTCCAACATCCTCCCGCTGCCGGATCCCCTCCCCTGCCCTCCGCCCACCTCGGTCCCTTCACCGCCCTCTCCCCCCTTGGTCCCCCCTGCATCTGTGCGAGCTGGCTTTCTGTGGATCCTAGTGAAGGTGGACGGCGTGGCGGACGCTGGCAGCTTCAGTGCCGATGCTGCCGCTGCTGGTGCCGTCAATGGAAGGGGCGTGGCAGGGGAGGCGGAGGAGAGAGGGGGCGCTGCAGAGGATGTCGAGGAGGAGGAGGGGAGATCGCACTGGTTGAGTAGCGTGGAAACTGGGGAAGTGGTGGGGTTGGGAAGAGTAAAAGAAAGTGTGAGGGAAGCTGGGAGCACTGTGTGTATGAGTGAGGGAGAAGCCTCTGCTTTGTCACAAAGTAGTGGCTCCTTTCAGGTACAGATGGTGCAAGCCTCAAAGCCCGGAAGAGACTCGTCTAGGGATGAAGGGCTAACTCCTAGGCATGGACGCTGGCAACCTGAAAAGACGGTAAATTATGAGGCCCAGAACAGAGTCAGGTCAGGCATGTAACAGTGAGGCCAACGGCCTGGGAAAAAAGAAATAGAAAGTCCAGGTAAGTCGTAGTGCAGTGTGGTCTCACAGGTGGCAGTGCGGTGTGTGGTGGTGGCATGGCCGAGGCCGCGAGCAAAGAAGTCAGCCATGGTCCAGAGCAGCCCCACGGACGTGAGAGATATGTTCACATCCGCCACTTGCCCCGCAAACGCCCCCACCACCTCCACACACCTGGTGCACAGCGACGGGGGGAATTGGAAGGAGGGGCAACATATATTCTGCAAGATATAAGTGGTCATGGGTGGGCAGAACAGGTGCAATCCAATCATGGGCAGCACTGCAGTGGAGCACATCCGGCAAAGGGGGTCTATTGCAACATGGGCCAGCGGTATGATGCACTGGTTGAGGTTGAGAGCGCACAAGAGAGGCGTGCAGGATGTGGCATGGCAAGTGAAGAGGCATGGGGACAAAAGAGTGTGAGATGTGGACGACAGGCATGTGGATGTTCTAAGACAGCGTGTCATGTCATGTACGCTGTGTTACAGTGGCATTGCACGATGTTGTGTTGGCGACTGACAATTGAAGGGTGTGAGGCGGAATGGAGGAGAGGCAGTCGTTGACCACCACCAGCTCACTCTGCACGCGACACAAGCAGTCAGGGGTACACGATCATGCAACCTTCAAGTGTCTGCTCCACACCCAGCGTAACTCAGCTTGTAGATAGCCAAAGTGGCAGCATGCATGGACAATGGGCCCAGCAAAGCAAGGAAGGAGGAGGGGGAACACATGAGCAGCAGAGCCCACCTGGAAGGCAAGACCCACGAGGTCCTTGTCATTCGTTGCTGCTACCATCCTGTGTATGCATGGCATCGCATTGGCATGGCATGGCATGGCATGGCATGGCACGGTGTGGAATGGAACGTTGTGGGAAGGGTTGTCGTAATAGCATGAATAGCGCTGGCAAATGTCAGTTGAAGATTGAACAACAATATTTGCTGACAGCACTGTCAGCTCATCAGTTGTCCCCAGCAGCAACAGCACTGTGTGACCCCAGCAGCAACACTGCGTGGCCCCAGCAGGAATGTCCACCTTAAGAGGTTGAGAAGAGTGGGCCAGGTGGAGTGCAGCTTCTCGCCATGGCGCTGCAGACAGGCAGGCAGGAAGAGAACGGAAATGATCACATGAGAGGGATGACACACAAGGCATCAGTGATGGACACAGAGAGTCGGGAGAAAGAGAACAAGAGCCCACCGCAGCTGCACGCTCCTGCTCCAGCACAGCCAGGCAAGTGGAGGAGCGTTCTACCCCTGAGCCAGCACAGACCCGTGCCTCATCCCCCTGGGCGACGTGCTGGTGGACCACGAAACGTATGGCTTCAACACGCGACCACCAACAACAACCTCAAACCCGCGGCTCTGCGGTTTCAGGTTTAAAGATTAGCTGTCAGCCGTCCCTAATGAACCGTCGGTGGTGCTGCTCCTTGCCTAGCTAGCCACCTTTGTTGTATGCCACAGTTTTCCCTTCACCCTTTCCCCCTCAACTCATCAAACTTACCACACCCCCACCTGTTCCAGGCCATCTCTGCCCATCACAGCAGTAGCGTTGGAATGAGAGAGGAAGAGCACAGTTGCGAAATGTGCTCTGTGAAATCGGTTACAGGTATGCCCCGGGCTCACCTCCAGCATGTGCAGCAGGATGCGCAGTGCACCTGCCTTCACCTCTGCATCACGCCCATCGCGCCACAGGGAGCTCACAGCGCCCACCACCATCTCCTCCAGCGCCACCTCTCCCCGCCCCTCCCCCTCGCCCTCCCCCTTCTGCCCCTCCCTCTCCTCTCCTCCCTCCCCTCCCTCTGTCCGACAAGCCCCTTCTCCCTGCTGCTCCTCGGTCGGTGTGGCAGAGGTGAGGGCGGAGGAGGAGGAGGTGGAGGAGCGGCGGTGCAGCGAGGGCGAGGAGAGGGCGGCCATGACGGCGCGGTCAATGGCGTCCACCGCCACCGCCCGCACGCCAGCGCTCTCGTGCACGGACAGCTGTGCACGCACGCACGCACACACACACACACACACACACACACACACACACACACACACACACACACGTGGGAGGGGACGGACAGGAGACAGGATCGGTTCAGGGGAAGAGCTGTGATATGAACAAAAAGGAGGACACTTGAGCTGGTCAAGAAGACTTGATTAAGGGGAAGGTGTGCGTCAAAGAGAACAAGTATTAATGTGAGTTGGAAGCGGTGCATACCTCCAGCAGGTGCAGCAGGATGGCATCCCATATAAGGTCCATTCCTGTAACGAATGAGGCACAAGCGGGCACGGTGCAATGCAGGATCATACAGCCAGAGCGATGCGATCATGAACCACAGTGACCCTCGACTGTGAGATGAACACAATGCTTGTGTGATCCAACCATGAACCACACTGTGCTTCTGAACGGAGCAGGACTCACGGTGCATGTTGTGGGAGAGCACGGACAGCATGCGCTCCACGGCAAACATCTTGAGCGTCGACGGCAGCGCGCCCGTGGTGAGAGGCGACGCCACCGCCGCAGCAGCAGCAGACGTGCCAGCGGCGGCAGCAGCAGCGGAGGAGCCCGAGGCGGCGATGCCGAGGCCGGTGGTGACGCAGTGCAGCGCGCGGTTGGACACCACCCGCAGGGCCGCCAGCACGGCCAGCACGGCCGCTGTGTCCATGTGGGCCGTGCTCTGGAACAGCTGGTGGCGGGCAGTGTCGTGGTGGTGGCATGAGGGCGTGGATTGGATGGGGTGCCAACAAGTGAACTCACTGACTAATGGCTGGCATACAAGTAAATGTACGCGAGCAGTAACGGTGGCACGTTAAGGACGTGGTGGCAAGGATAAGTACCTGTGCATCGAGGGTGGCAGGCATAAGTACCTGTGCATCGAGGGTGGCGAGCACGGAGAAGTCGGACTGCAGTGAGGAGGGCGCGCCTGTGAGCTCCTTGGACCCGCGCGGCCCTGCTGATGGCGTTGATGCTGATGTGGATACGTCCTGCATACCACCACACCACGCACATGCACGTCTGGTGGCATCACATCACTGCATGCATACTGGAGTGGTACCTCACCTTGCATACTGATGCCACATGGACACTCCTGACAATACAGCCAGTGCAGCAATGCCCTTCACCTCATAACGTTTTGCACAACATTCACAGCACTACATGCCTGCCATGCTGCATGCTAGGCCATGCTACATCCGTGGTCATGCTACATGCCTGGCCATGCTACATCCGTGGTCATGCTACATGCCAGGCCATGCTACATCCGTGGTCATGCTACATGCCTGGCCATGCTACATCCGTGGTCATGTTACATGCCTGGCCATGCTACACGCCCGGCTATGCTACATGCCTGGCCATGCTACATCCGTGGTCATGTTACATGCCTGGCTGGTGGCGTATGGCGAATGGATGGTGCGGTCGAGGGCAGCCAGAGTCTCCATCACCTGGTGTGAGGGGCAACATGATACGTGACGCACAGGGCACGGGGGCATAACATGGCAAGGAGCACAAGTCGGCTTTGATAGAACATGCCATGGTGGAACATGTCATGCGTAACTGGGCGAATATAGAGTGCGCACAACACTAGGCACAGGTCGATGGTGCAAGCTGGAAAAGGGCACACACCAGTTCCCAGGACGGTCCAAGCACGGCGCAGAGGCGGTGGGAGACATTGAAGAGCGTGCGCAGGGCGTGCATGTTCTTGGGTGTGAGCACGGGCACGCCCTGCCCCAGGGCGGCGGCAGAGGCGGCAGCAGCAGAGCCCATGGAGGAGGCGAGCAGGTCCCCCCGTGACTCCGTGCCCAGCAGTGCGTCCAGCGACCTCATGGGCGACAGGTACGCACTGCATGCACGTACCACCAAGTCAACGTCCTTTCATGAACCGTGAAGAGTGTAAGGCTCAAATGATACAGAATCACATTGAAATTTGTGGCATTTGCAGAGGCGTTTGGTGGTGATGTGCGAGGGCGTTATGGAGTGATGGCGTAGTGGCCCTGATGTGCAATGGAGAGAGCGGAGTGCATGGGATGAGCATGGCAACCGAGTGCACTGACCTTGACGGGGAGGAGGGCATTTGGAAGCGGTCGGAGTCAAAGGGCTGGCCGGGTGGCGCCATGGTGCTCATGGATGGCGAGGTGACGAGGGTGAAGCGACACAGCGATGCCAGGAACTCGTCCCGCGGGTCCACCAGGTCCAGCGCGCCACACGCCTGGTGGCCACAGCAATGAGGGTGGTTGGGGCATGCAGAGGAAGAGGAAGTGAGTGCACGGAGCAAGGCAACAAAGAGGCAGTGTCTGGCCAGGAAACTATAGCATCAGCAACCACCTGGTGCATCCTCACCTCACCTGGGTAGAAGCTACAGATGCCCTCATCTTACCTTGTTAAAAGCGTCACATGCCCTCACCCCATCTCATCTCACCTGGGTGAACGCCTGGTATGCCCTAAGAATCTCCAGAATGACAGCCTCACCCTGTGACCTGCAGATACAGGGGGGGAAACAGATGAACAGAGGAGCTTACATGGATGGGCCATGCATTGAGCAACCGCCTACACAACTGGGCATGGATAAGCGAAATACTTGGTGCATTCGAAAATGGTGGCGTGCGCATAGATAGTGTGTGCTCAATTGGTGTGTGTGCCTGTAAGCAGCTCTGTGTTTGTGAGTGGGCAGGGAAGGGCACAGACCGGGCAAGAATGATGGAGAGAGCATCGAGGACGGTCTTCCACACGGCATCCACCATGCGCACACACAGCTCCTCCAGTGCTCCGCGCACCCGCCCCTCTGCACTGCCGCCCCTGCTCTCCGCATCCTCATCATCCTGAGCTCCTTTCTTCACCCACTCGCTCCCATCGCCCTCCTCCTGCATGCCGCCCAGCAGGGCCAGCAGGCCGCGAGTGAGCCCTGGGGAGGGCGCATGGGAGTCGGACTCAGCCAGCAAGGCAGCGTGCTTGCCTGGCACCCGTGGGGAGGGAGGGCTTACAGGTGATGCCCCCTCCTCACCCTGGCGCCCACCAACCCCTGAAGCACCGTCTGTTGCAGCAGCCCCACCGCCCTGGGCAACGGTCTGAGCATCAGGTTGCTTGCGCGGTGCGAGAGGGGACTTGGGAGGTGAGGCGGAGTGCGGGTGTGAGTCATCCATGGCCTCGTCGGTGAGCAGAGCGATGGTGAAGACGATGCCCAGCAGCCCCTCCACCGCCAGCGTTATGGCGTGCGCCTCACTGGCCGCCACCACTGCGTTGCCCGCCCAGTCAAAGTCCATTGACCACTCCACCCCTGCTGCCCCCAACCACGAGGCACACACACATGCATTAGCAAGCTAGCCTGCTGACAGGGGGAGACGATCCAACGGCGTAGAGCAAAGGGAGAATCACCTCTGGCTTTGCTGCTGAACATGCCGGCAACTGCAGCTAGACTCTCCTCACTGGAGTCCGGCACCTGTGACGCATGAGACAAACAAATGCACATGCACGCGCACACCAAAGTGCAAGCACACATGCATACATGTATATGCACACACACACGTGCGCGCACACACACACACATACACGCACACACAACACACACACACACACACACACACACACATACATGAGGAAATAAGGAGAGGATTGGAGTGTTCATGGACAATGAGAGAAAAAGGAGTCATTGTGGGAAGTTTCACAACGAGGTGGGGATGATGGTCATGGGGGAAGAAGTTGGTTGTGATGTGCTGCTGAGACCATGTCAGCATGGTGGCACATCTGTGTGGTGACAATGGGTGTTATCAACGACCGAGTGCATGAGGGAAGCAGCGCAGCAGCAGACCTGCACGCTCTGCACCACGTGGGCCAGCGCCACTGCCATCTCCTCCACTATGCTGCTGTTGCCCGGCTGCCTGACACACACGCAACAGCCACGCTCAGGGGGGGAAGAGCAAAGCAAGTGGACGTTCGCAGAGAAAACGACGGCAACAAGAATTCCAGAAGTTGAATGTGCTGTTTAAAGTACTTCCAGGAGTGCGCAGAAATCTACCTCGCCCAGAATAACTATAATTGGATATCATTTAATCCTTCACTAGTTACATTTTTTTGATACGCTGACACAAGTACCACTGGCACGCATGAACCTGCCGGGAACCTGCTCTCTCACGCCAAACAATGAACTTTCCGCATCACAAGGTGAAATTCCTCATGTACGGAACAGTGTGAAAGCACTCACATGTCAAACAGGTTGAATATGAGTTGAAGGGTCCCTGGCTCCACGCAGAAGCCCTGCATGCAGACGAGCGCACACACGCACACACGTGCGTGAATGTGTCAAGTTAGCAATGCAATCACACGGAATGAAGCCACCATAACATGCCCTCCATCTTCCACTCATCTGCACATAGATTTAGTGACCGTTTGCACTGGGACAGGTGAAGGGCCTACCGCAACCACTTACTCAAAAAGCATGCTGGCAACCGGGTTCGAGTGGCCAAGCAATCACTAGCTGGCATGGCCTACCCGTCGCATCTAACCAGAGGGCGCGGTGTGGTGTGGCGCATACCCGGAGCACTTCAAGCACGAGGATGCGGTGCCAGAGAGGCAGGTCCTGGTCCACGCTCTTCACCAGCATCAGCAGAAACACCTGCTCGGGATAAAAGTTTCTCGGGAAAAACGATGAGGCCGAGGGTTGGGAAGAACGATGAGGCCGAGCACACGGAAGAGAAGCAGCAATGAAAGAAGGGTCAACAAGTGCCATGGCTACCGGCCGCATGAGTGACCCAGTGCCCTCACCTCGCACTCGGTGGTGAGCTGAGCGTGGTGCTGCCGCACGAGGGTGGACACACAGCGCAGCACCAACCGCCGGTACCCTGGCTCGCCCACATCCCCCTCCTGATGATGCCCCGCCACCCCATGTACAAGCAGGAATGGTTAGGTGATACGGTGATTGCCAGTGCTGCGACACGATATGCAGAAGCATTCACACGATGGCACTCACCTCAGAGCCTGTGGAGCGCAGTGACGTCATCACGAGTGCACAGAGCTTGTGCTGCAGCACCTGGTGGGGCACACCAGAGGTGGAGAGGGAGCGAAGGTATAGGGACGTGCTCACATCAAATGCAAACAGGTAAGAAAAGTGAGCATAAAAGCGCATGGCCCATACAGTGTGGCGCACCCATCAAGCTTACAATAGTCAGTACTCGATCAACTTGGAGCCATCCGAGCAACTGGAGTAGTGAAGCATTACCATTGGACAACCACTTGTGAAAAGCCTGATTCAATCTTGTCTTGATGTTTTGAAAGTTGAGCTCATGCAATTTTGTGCTTACGCATGCTATACTTGCGGATTGGGAGCACTGCATAGAGACAGCTAGGCTGTTGATGGCTGACGCTGCCATGCCTGCCTGGTAGGTAACCTCACCTCACGAGTGCTGTAGCCTCTGTGCAATAGCAGAGGGCATGGCTGACCTGCTGGTAGGGAGTGAGGCGGCGGAAGAGCGTGGCATAGTGGGACACGACGTACTCCAGCATCTCCAGGGCGAACGTGCGCTGCAGTGATGGCACGTGCAGCCACTGCGCCTGCCATGTGGGAAAGATGCAGGAGAGTGGGGGCACAAGGCACACATTAAAACACAAGTGGTTGCCACGGGGATCAGCAGACGAGGGGAAATCACATCACTGCAATGCGCAAAACACATCTGATGCAAACATCCTTTTTCAAGTAGAATTCCCTCTCAACTCCCACTCTACCAGCAGCCCCCCCCTCCCACCCACCCCTTACGACGCTGCCCTGCTGAAGCTCCCTGCCCGGAGCGCACCTGTTGGCCCGCAGCGAGAGCGGCGAGGTCCTCGAGCAGGCGGAGGCCCATGCGGGCTGCGGGTGAGAGGTCGTCCACGCGCTCCTTGAGCACCACCGTCTCCAGCTCCTCTCCCCCCCCCCGCCCCGCCCCCTCGCCCTCCGTCGCCCTGCCACGGGTTCATGTGCCAGCATAAATGTTATGGCAAGTACTCTCAAATGGCATGCCAATGGTGCCCACCAGCGGGCTCACCTGGAGGCCATGACGATGCGGCTGATGTCGCCCGGCTCGGAGGTGTTCCACACACGGTTGGCCTGGCGCGGGGCACATTGCACCGGCAGGCCCTCGCTGCTGGCAGCTCTGTCGAAGATGAGCGCTATGGCTTGCCGCAGCGTTGCTGTGGCCGTGCTGCCATACACACATGCACGCACAGACACAATCACGCACACGTACACGCACATGCACGCGGGTTGGGTTGAGGGGGAGGGAGTGAATGTGCGAAGATAGAGTGCAGCAGCAGGGTCAGGACAACATTGCAAGCCCGTGGTTGCGACAGCATGCATTCAGAAGCCATACACACGAGCACACAAGAACATCCGTCTCCCTACCTGTGGACACAGTCCAGCTGCCGAGTGCTGCCTGCCAGGCGAAGGCAGATGCCAAGGATGATGGCCATGCTCTCCTGCACACATGGTGGGGAGATGGGCGCATGCATGGACGAAGTTGGTGGTGCACGCATGTGACTACAGACTTGACGAGAGCACTGTGTCAACCTTGTATGCAACATGCCGAGCTCCTGACCGTGTGCATGCATGCATGTCCCAGTGCTTGCATCCATGCCTTATGCTCCTCGTTCTTCTCATCCGAATGCATCCGTGAAACACTTTTCACCAAGCGTACAGACCCCACCTCGCCATGAGAGTGAGGGGTGGCAATGGCATGGCATAGCAGCGCACCTCATCTTTGGGGTGCAGCTGCGACTGCAGCACTGTCAGCACTGTCTGCAGCACCTTCAGCTGCACCGCCTCCTCTGACCCGTCCGCGTGCTGGGGAGGGCACGCAGGGGGGAGGAATGAACACACTAAGGCAAGACGAGGGCGTAGCAGATTGGAATGGACGACAGGTGCAGACAGGGCTGACTAGCGTTGCCAGCGAGCTGAAAGTGGATGCCTGCACCACAGCCGCATCAGTAATGTACGTCAACCAACCGTTCTACAGCCAGCACCGTGAATTCAATGCTCTGCACACCGTTGCCTGCATAGGTTTCAGGTTACTTGATATGTAAGGCAGACATCCTGATTTGCTGCAAGCTGTGCATTCCAATGTCAGCACTGCAAGCAATTTCAGTCAGGATTGATGCATGACTGTACCAAATGTCACTCGGATCAGAGTCAGTCAGGAGGACATATGTCATTGATGCATCACTGCAAGACATGCGGGTCAGAAAGCCAAATGCTAGCCAAATGAGATCATGAGATGCACCAGTGCAGGAACTTCCAGTCGAGGACTACAGCACACGCCAGTCAGGATACGCTGCATCAGTGTAAGCACCGTCAGTTGGATCTCTGCTGTAAATGTCAGTCAGTGCAAGAAATGACAGTCAGAATGTGGCGCATCACTGCAAGAGTGCGGGTCAAAGAGCTTTGCATCGTTGTGGAGTGATTAACGACTGGCTTGCATATCTGCAAACCGTGTGAATTAGGGAGCGCCGTGATTCACCTCTCTGAGCGTGGTCAATATATCAGGTAAGGCAGCAGGCGGCACTGCGTTGTTGGCCACCAGCTTCTGCACGCACGACAATCCCAAGGCGCACAGCCGCGGCTGCCTTGTGTCGCACGCCAGCAGGAAGATTCGCAATAATTCATCACTTCTTGAAATGGCTTCGGGACCTGCCAGAGAACGCAGCTGAGTAATGGCAAGGAGGGCGCAGCAGGAGAGGACGCGGTTCATGTCAGTAAAAGACAAACGCCAGAGGCACAACATCTTAGCACAAAGAACTTTCTGAGCAGCCTCAGAAGCCAGCACGGGGAACACGACAGCTGGAAGTGAGAGCACTGGATCAGCTGAGCCAATCCATGCAGCACACCTTGAGGATTCCACGTTCCGCGGCGTCCTTCACGGCGGGGAATCGCCGGCGAGCCTCAGCGGAAATGGAGCGCAGGTCCGCCTCGAGCACCGCGTTGATCGTCATTGTGACTCGGCGACTGATCAGCCAGCGCTGTGACTCCGGCTACACATGCATTGTGAGAGCGAACGCTGATCGCACGCGACGACCCATGAATAGAAACAAGATGTGATGGGCCCGCTCAATCTAACGAAGTTCGATTCAACGGCAGCGTGAAGCTAACAGGAAACCGATGCGCGAGCAATGCAAGAATGTATGAAGTAATCTGTTTAGCTGATAATCCTCAGCTCAATACAGGATTCCACCCAAACTTCAGGTCAGAACCTAGGAATTCCCACTTTGCTGGTTTTGCGAGAAGTATTATACGCGGGCTCGAAGGGTTGCGACGTGCTTTCCCTAACTGATCCGTGCTTTCTTTGACGAGAAGTCCACCTAAGTGATACGGCAAGGCAAGGCAATCCCAAGCGAGCACCAGGCACCTTGGGAACTCATTACAAGACCTTGTCCGCTGTCACCACAGGAAGTTTTGCAAAATCCTCCAACCTGGAATAAGATACAACATAATTTGCACTTTTCTGTGTTGTTGATTCAAAATCTTGCATTCAAGTGTTACCGTTGTCCTAAATTGTATTCAATGCTTCCCATTATAACAGATACTCATGGGTTTCTACATGCCCAAGCTTGATTTAATGCGGTGAAAATTGCTGCTCATTTATAACGATTTCAAAAATAATTTCTTATTACGAATAGTAAAAGATGAAAGATACTGTGCACTCCTGACAATAGCAAGCTAGACACACAGGAAGGAGTACGAAGACGAAAAGGCAAGATTACGAGAAAGGTCGCGTACGGTTACGAAGGATCTGGACTGTCAAGGCAGACAACATCGGACAACTGAAGTGGCGAGGATTCTGCGGGAACAGTTCGTAACCTTCTGGAGTCGCAAGGTTGGATTTCATTGTGATAAGGGAGCGTACCCCTTAGAGTACATGGCTGGTTAGGTCGTTTCGTATTCCCCAATACACATATTCATACGAATGTATTTGTATGCTTTTATCGTCCCAGTCAGGCCCTCAGATATCAGCGTAAAACACGCTGATTACGCTGATTTTGTAGCTGTGATTTTCGTTTTCCCTGAAAATTCAGCATATGCTTCAATTTTGCACTGAAATTTCAGTATATCCTACCTTGTCACACTGACCATTTTGCGTGTTTCTTTACAAGAAACACTGACGAATCAGTATAGTGACGTGAGTCACACTGAAACGGTGTTGACCGCGTGTTGGGGGGGGGGGGGGGAGGGGGTGTCAGAATGTTATAATTGTCTAGCCTGCAGTGGGGTACTCTATAGCGAGTACAACCCAATTAGGGTTTCCTATATGTATGCCAACTGCTGCTAGTGCAATCCTCTCTTCTTCCATTCTCGTTCCAACTTTCACATGCTATCAGAGCATCTACGCTCCTGGCCTGTGGGCCCACCTAACTGCTTCCGCTGCTACTCTGTGCGTTTCACGCCACGTTGCGTGCGACGAATCTTTTCTTCCCTCGCGCCACCCTTAGCGGCCCCGTCGCCGCCCTTCTAGGCCCCTCGAGCCCCCTTCGCGGCCCCGTCGCCGCCCCTAGCGGCCCCGTTGCCGCCCTTCCAGGCCCCTCGCGGCCCCTTCGCGGCCCCGTCGCCGCCCCTAGCGGCCCCGTCGCCGACCTTTCAGGCCCCTCGCGGCCCCTTCGCGGCCCCGTCGCCGCCCCTAGCGGCCCGTCGCCGCCCTTCCAGGCCCCTCGCGGCCCCTTCGCGGCCCCGTCGCCGCCCCTAGCGGCCCCGTCGCCGCCCCTATCGGCCCCGTCGCCACCTCCAGCGGCCCCGTCGCCGCCCCTAGCGGCCCCGTCGCCGCCCCTATCGGCCCCGTCGCCGCCTCCAGCGGCCCCGTCGCCGCCTCCAGCGGCCCCGTCGCCGCCCCTATCGGCCCCGTCGCCGCCTCCAGCGGCCCCGTCCCCGCCCCGGCCATGCTCCGTCGCCTGTCGCGGCGCACCGGGGACCCGTGCACCGCCCCCCCCTCTTTTCCCGTCGCCCGTCGCGGCTCCTTGGGGGTCGCACCTGGGGGGGGGGGGGCGAGCGTCGCCCCTTCTGCCGCCTGTTTTGGTGCCCTGGGAGGCCGCGCGTCGCCCCCCCCCCCCCCCCCCCCCCCCGTAACCTCCCTACCCGCCGTCCCGCCCTGCCCTGTGTTAGGGTCTGGGGGTGGCGAGTAGGGGGTGGCGGGTGTGTGGTCTCCCCTGCTCCTCCTCCTCCTCTGTCTCCCACTGCTGCAGCTGCCGCTGAGGGGGGTGGGTGTGTGGGAGACGACGGAGTGGTGCTAGGGGGTGGGGTGTGAGTGAACCTAGGGTGCAGCAGGGGGTGTGTGAAAGGGGGGTGCTGTGGGAGTGGAGCTAGGGTCTGAGCAGGGGGTGTGTGTCGAGGGTGTGGGGCAGTTGGAGGAGGTTGTGTGAAGGTAGCTGTCGTGTCGTCTGCAGCGCCTGTAGTCCGTCGCCCTTGCTTCGGTAGCCAGTGAGCCTGTTGCACCAGTCGCCAGTGGGTCCGTTGCTCCTGCCGCTCGTCTATAGCCGCGGAGCCAGTTACTCCAGTAGTCCGTCGCCCTTGCTTCGGTAGCCACTGAGTCAGCCGCTCCTGTGCCCGTGCCTCTGCAGCTTCAGTCGTTGCCTCCCATCTTCTCTCCCTCCACAGTTCCTCCTCCTCCTCACTTGCCCGCTGTGATTAAATCTAGCTTTGCTCGCTATTGTGAACTCCTGCTCTATGCCTGCTTGCTCACTGTGCTGATTACACCCCACTTTGGCTATGGGGGTGTGTCAGAATGTTATAATTGTCTAGCCTGCAGTGGGGTACTCTATAGCGAGTACAACCCAATTAGGGTTTCCTATATGTATGCCAACTGCTGCTAGTGCAATCCTCTCTTCTTCACAGGGGGGGGGGGGGGTGATAGGGTACGCATGTACAATCTGTACCTTCCCGTGATTCCTGAGACCCCACCCACACACTTGACATTTTTTCGCATGCACTGCACAGATATCAGGTTCGCGCCGTGTCAGATTTATATGACATAGCTACTGTAGGCTATAGTGGGGTAGCACATATGGGGTACAGTTTTCTAGGGTTTACATTTGTACCCAACTTTCCCTTAGTCAATTCATTCTCGTTCAGTTTCTCATGGTATCGAGCAGGTTCCCCTGTGGGAACTGTTCCTAGGGCCCACCACCTTTTTTTCCTGCCCGGAGCGCGCTCTACACTGCCCGAGTCGCGCTCCCCTCTCTCGACCCTGTCGCGCCGCCTTAGCGGCCCCGTCGCGTCGCGCCTGCGGCCCCGTCGCGTCGCCCTCGCGGCCCCTGCACGTCGCGCCGCCCTAGCGGCCGCGTCGCGCCGCCCTCGCGGCCCCGATCCGCCGCCCTCGCGGCTCCTTCGTGTCGCGCCGCCTCGCGGCCCTTTCACGCCGCCCTCGCGGCCCTTTCTAGTCGCCCTCGCGGCCTCTTCAAGCCGCCCTCGCGACCCCCCCCCTCCTAGCCGTCCTCGCGGCCCCGTCGCCTACCCCTGCGGCCCCGGCACCGCCCTTCCCTGCCTCGGCGCCGCCTCTGCTGGCCCCGTCGCCTACCCCTGCGGCCCCGGAGCTGCCCTTCCCGGCCCCGGAGCTGCGCTTCCCGGCCCCGGCGCCGCCTCTACTGGCCCCGACGCCGCTCCACCCGGCCCCGACGCCGCTCCACCCGGCCCCGACGCCGCTCCACCCAGCCCCGCCGCCGCTCCACCCGGCCCCGCCGCCGTCCCCACGCGGCCCCGCCGTCACCACCGAGCCGCCGGCGCCGCCGAGCTACTGCCGAGCCGCCCGATCCACCAGAGCCGCCCGAGCCGCCGCGCCACCTGAGCCGCCCGAGCCGCCGAGC